TGGGAAAAAAAAATTTGTTTGGGGGCCAAAAAAAAGGGTTGGGGGGGGGGAAATTTCCGATTTTTTTCCCGATTTATAGCCAAAATTAAATTGCTTTTTTTTGGGGGCCCCAAAATTTTTCCCCCCCTTTTTTTTTTTCCCCTTTGGGGGGGGGAAAGGGGGGTTTAAAAGGGGTTTTTTTCCCCGACCAAGGGGTTTTCCAAAAGGAAAAAAAACCCCCCCCCCCCCCCCCCCCCCCGTCTCCGCTCCCGTTGTCACGCAAAACCCTTCCGCTTCCGCTTACCTTCTGTTTCGTCGCAGACCCCCCAGGAGATTGCCTCCGCATTCGGCTGGTGGTAGCAGTGTTGGAGGGGTGCGGGAGCTACTTCGTGCGCGGTGCGGGGCTGGACAAGCTGTCCAAGTTCTTGGGAGTGTTCCAGAGGTACAGTACAGCAGTAGTTATGCACATAAATAGCACAGTTTTGGTTGTTTTCGTTGGCCTTCTCGACGTTGTTGTCGGCAGGAGTTTCCACCAAGGATCACGCGGCATTTTGGCCCGCCCGTCTTGCGGGCTGTATACCCATACACTCAATCTGTCAAATTTTTGTGTTGGCTTTCTTTAGAGAAAGGGATATCGCTTATGAGAGAGAGAAAGACCGCATAAGTAAGACTTGTGTGTCCCAGGGAGGTTGTATGATGACGCTGGTCGGAAAGCCATCATCCCGAATAACCCGTCCAATATGTGTCCACTTTTGTAGCGTCTGTTCCGCATGGCTGTTGCTCATGTGCAACCATTCTTGCTATGAGGAAATTCTGTGCTAAGCCGACCCTCCACCGTCCGCTTCGTGTGACCGGTCGTGCATGTTTTCCCGCGCTTTTTATCTCCCGAAGGTACCTGTTCTGCAAGGAAGGGTTTCCGGCGGGGACCGAGTTCGCCGTGCTGGACCTCCTGGATGACTTGGAGTCGGGTGCAAAGGCCGCCAGGGCTAAGGACAGGGCGAAGGCGAGGAAAGCAGCGCAGGAGGTGAGATAGATAGATGCCGGTAACCCTATTTTTTGTTTTGCCGCTCTTTTTTGCTGTGTCGTCAATGGTGTGCGGTGGAAGGCAAGAAGGAATCCATGAAGCATGGTATACTAAACGTTTCTGGCCAAAAGTGTGAACTGGGGTACAGCGGTGGCGCGTGTGAGGGGGGGGGGGGGTGTACTCATAGTGGTGCATGCCGTAGTCGTTAGACCATTGACCTCGCATCCCTACAAAGCCGGGACGGAGCACGCCGGGTTCTCACCGGACCAGGCTCTCACATCTCCAAGCGCGAAGCACCGTGAGGTATTCGGCGAGTCGCAAGAAGGTTTCTGTGGGGAGGGGGTATTGATCCTCTCTTGTGCGTTTCGACTTTGTTTCGTCGTTCTCCGTGCACATGCTTCCCGTATTGACTTGTGGCTGCCTCGTTTGCGATCGTCCACCTTGCCTTTGTCCGCGCGGTACTTTGTTTGTGTGTACGGTTGCAGTAGCCCTTGGACGCCATTCTTTACCCTGCGTAGCCGGGTGTGTGTGGGTCGCGGGAGGCCACACGTTTTTGCAGGTGTACTCTCTGATATGTAAAAAAAAAATGTTATTGTGTCAGCAGGAAGACGTTGTGGCTACCATCCCGAGTACCTCGGCGCCCTTGATTTCAACCCACACGTACACCCGCAAGAACATGGAGCAAAACCCGGCTCCATCCCGTGGTAGTGCTTTTGATACACCTGGGGAAGCTTTTGTTGCGCGTTCCGTTGGATATCGCTTCTCAATTTGGTTCCAACGGCCCCTGGCATGGACCCGTACCGTTAAGGTAACTCATGAAAGCCGAAGCATGCTCACCCTCCCTCCCATCGTATGTAACCGTCCTCTGAAAATTGCTCATCAAGGCCGAAGCAAAAGGTCGTGGTCAACGAGACGGAGGCAAGAAGGACAAGGGGGCGGCGGCGGAGGAGGAGGAGAAAGACGACGGTCCTATCCTGCCCAGATATCGTACGTGGGAGGAGGCACAAGCGGCCGTTGAGGAAATGGACAAGTAAGTGCCGCTTGTTCTTAGGCCGGTGTGTCACCCTTTTTTGTGGTAATTTTTCCCAGGCCAGTTGGTCACTTTTTTGTCGTTATATGTTCCCGTGCCAGTTTGTCACTTTTTTGTGGTAATTTGTTCCCAGGCCAGTTGGTCACTTTTTTGTGGTAATTTGTTCCCAGGCCAGTTTTGTCACTTTTTTGTGGTAATTTGTTCCCAGGCCAGTTTGTCACTTTTTTGTGGTAATTTGTTCCCAGGCCAGTTGGTCACTTTTTGGTGGTAATTTGTTCCCAGGCCAGTTTTGTCACTTTTTTGTGGTAATTTGTTTCCAGGCCAGTTTGTCACTTTTTTGTGGTAATTTGTTCCCGTGCCAGTTTGTCACTTTTTTTGTGGTAATTTGTTCCCAGGCCAGGTTGTCACTTTTTTGTGGTGTCCCTTTTTTGCGTTTTCGTGTCCCTTGGTCTGTCAAGACGAATCTTGTCTTGCCGCGGGCCCCCCCTTATTTATTCTGCTTTGTTCCTGTTCGTGTCCCATTTTTAGGGGGAGGTCATGTTTCGAGGTTTCTGTGATTGCTGGACAGAATGTTTTCTTCAACACCCAACACGCACGTGCTTCGTCGCCGCCCGGATTGCAGGATCTCTCAACGACTTCTAGCTTGCTTGCAGCACCGGTCACTTTTTCGCCTTGCTTCTTTGGTTCAATATATCATGTAACCCGTATGACAGGTGTGGTGTATACAATAGTCCAATCCGATCACTGAATCAGTATACCGAAAAATATTCCGGTAATGCTCCTTCGACAATTATCCCATAGGTTTGTGCAATAATCCGATCACTGAATCAATATGCCGAGACCAATTCCGGTACTGACTGATTTGAACATTCCAACAAATGCTACCGCTGTTGCGTCCCTTCTCCTGGTGTGGTATGCAGGGTCTGGGCGGAGGACCACAAACGACGCATGTCCCGAGTTGCCGAGCTTCAGGGAAGAAGAGATGCGGAGGGGGAAGACACGCCGGAGGAGATCGGGACGGACGATGACGACGATGATGATGACGATGATGAGGACGAAGAGGAAGGAGGGTCAGGTAGGCTTGTATACCTTACGAAGGAGGAGACCTCATGGGGTGTGTGCTTGCTGTCTCCGCTCAAATATTCTGTTTTTAGTGTACAGAGGATGGCCATCTGGAGGAAGGATCAGGTAGGCTTGTGAGACGATGAAGAAGATCAATGCCGGGGCTTCATGGGGGTGTGTTACGCTTGTTGCCCCGGCTCATCTCTTTGTCCCGCGGCATGTGTCCTGTACAATGGTTCCATCTATTGCTGTTGTGACAAGTGTCGAGGGTGGGTTTAAATTGTGTGCATTGACCTCAACACGAGGGATCGCTGGAGTTGTGATGCTATACGCCTGGCCTAAAATGAAGATTAGCTTAGCTCTCGTGGGCCTGAACACTGTCTTGTTCATCCACAACCTTATCCGCCATGTGTTGTGCCGTCGTATTTTTCTTTTTTTTTCCCCATGTTGCCAACCTTTGATTCAGGGTCTGAGGCTGAAGAAGACGGCAACGACGTGGACTCGCAAAGACAGGTTCGTTTTGTACGTACAACTCGAAAATAAACTCCCTGAATTAACTCCCTGAGGCGGCTCAACATCAGATACCACCTTCTTCTCAACCATTATGTTCTTGCTTGTGGCATACATGTGTGCCCTCCCCAAAGCAAAGCCTACACAAACACACGCCCCTTTGAATTGAACTCCTTGCGCTGGGACCATCTGGTGTGTTTTTTCGGCACCAGTGCGCGCAATTTGTCCTTGCATTATGCCATACCCCCTCGCTCATGAGCTCGCCATCGTCCCAACCTTGCGTCTGTCTCCCAGAGGGACGATGTAGACGAAGGAGATGACGGAGAAGACGAGCAGGAGGTGGTTCTGAACGGGTGGGGTGTGGGGGTGGAGAGGACGGAGGAGGACGGTGAAGCGGAGGACGAGTTCGAGGCGCTGCTGAGCAAGACCATGTCGGAGAGCGTGGAGAAGACCAAGATCGCTAGGGCCACCACCCAGGTGCTTTTCGACTAGCGTTTGCGAGGATGTTTTTGACCTTGGTTTTGGTAGGGGTTGCGGGTTTGGGTTAGGGTTAAGATATCATCCTCTCAATTCGACATGTACAGTACATGTAACGCTTAATATCCTGGCGAAGGCGATCCTGCTTTTTACGGCTCCGCCCTGCATTGCTCACGAACGCCATTTGTTAGGAGAAAGATATCTGCTTTTTGAGAGATACTGCAATGATGCTAAGGGTTTCGTTTCCGAGGTACTCATCATGTGTCGCTTCTAACGCGTGCCAGAGAGCGAGGAAATCCAACCACCGTGTGTCTCTCCTGTATCGTAGCCGTCGTCGTTGCTGTTGTTGTTTTTGCTCTTGTGGTCTTGGTTGTTTGTTTTGTTTTCTGTTGCTGGGGTTGATGACGGTCTTCTTGTCAGGAAGCTTGTATTATGGCTGATGAAATGTGCTGACGGCCAAAACTGTTGCTCGTTAGGTGATGGGCCACATGGCGGTGCCAAGGGTGCTCAAGAACACCAACGTCCGGACGGCCACTCACCAAGCGCCGCTCACAGGTGAGCAAGAGCGACGAGAACGCGAACAGGAAGTAGAGAGGCAACGAAATTGATCGATAGCGCTACGTAGGAGAGGTAGAGTGCAACAAGGGCAACAGCTATCGAAGCGAAGAAAACAATTTTTACAGCATTGAACCCTCTTGCGGAACGCTGTAGGTTTTTTGTACGGCCCCTGGAGCTGGGGTCGTTTCTTTTCTCACGGCACAAGACTCTTCTCGCCTTGACAAACATGAAGAGTTTCGTCGGGGCGGGTGGACCAAAGGCCTTCGAAAACACCTCCAGTTCAGTACCCGTAGAATGATGACATCTTCTCCCTCTTTGATTGATTGTGCTTGTCAAAGGCGGGTCGGGCGTGGCGTTCAAGCTGCTCAAGCGCGGCAACAAGGGCAAGATGGAGGCTCAGGAGGTGGTGGTGCCCGAGTCGACGTCGCTAGCGGCGCAAGTGAACCGCAACGAAGAGGCCAGTCGAGAGGAGAGCTTCATCATCAAGGCTAGGGTAAGTGCTCGCTCGCGCGAACAGCGTCTTCTCCTTCTTCCTGTGGCATGCGTATTTCACGATGTCTGGAAATATAGGGAACATTTGGATATGAATGTGAATGTCCCAGGGTAAGTGGTCGCTCGCCCAAACACCGTCTTCTTCTTAATGTGGCGTGCGTTTTTCGCCATGTCTGGAAGTATTGGGACCATTTGGGGAGATATGTGAACATCCCAGGGTACGTGCTCGCTAACGCGAACAGCGTTTTCTTCTTCCTGTGGCATGCGTATCCCACGATGCCTGGAAATATAGGGACCATTCGAATATAAAAGCGAATATCGTGTGGTGTACTCTGTCTGTCTACCTATAAGAGTCGCAGGAGATTACCACACAGCCCTGGGCCGAGTTTCGAGGTTCGCTTACTCCAAGACAGTGCCAAAATGAAATGATGCATGTATCGAAAAGCTCACAGAGAGAAGGTTCCAGCGCTGCCATGTTCGGCACCGTCACTGATTCTGCCACAGCAGCCGCCGAACTTTTTATAAAATCGGTTCCGGGGGTGTGGTATCTTGCGTCACGTACCGTACGCCTCGCTGGAGTGACCCACGTGAAGTCGTGCAATGCTGACCTCTTGGTCGACGGGCCCGTCATCACACAGTTGGTAACGTGGTTACGACACGCACGATTTGCACGTTCCTTTTGTAACCTCTCACGGCAAGATTGTTTCTCATGGGTGTCGAAACTGGCGGGGGCTTGATTGCCTGTCTGACACCCGAATCGTTTGTCTTATCTCCGCGTTACGATGTTCGTGATAGAGGCACCCCTCCCTTTGTGCCTCCTACGGTCCGAAATTGATGTTTGAATTCACCCTGCTGCCGTGCTGTTTTCTGCCGCAGGTATTAGCCTACGAGGCGAACATCGAGGCGGCCGTTTTTGCGCAGGATGCGGGCGAGATTCCACTGCCAGAGGACTACACCCAGTTCATTCCGAAGGTACATGACTTGGAGGATACCTTTGGTCTGTAATCTTCCGACCGCTGTTTGCCGTGAACCAAATCGATGAGCACGCATTATGTAGGCCCCCATCTACAAGCAAGGCCTAGATACCATCCAACCGCCCCCATCTTGTCGGCTTATCAGGTGCACAATGCCCCGCTTCACCCAGAAGGGGGGAAGGCATCCACGAAGTCCGGCGGGCGCGGTGGCAGTGGCGGCGCCGGACGCGGGGGGGGGAGAGGGGGGGGTCGGGACCTCCTGGCTCAAACCAGCGGCGGTGGAGGTGGAGGGGGTAGGAGGCGATGAGCACAACGGCGGGGACCCATTTTCCTGAGGCCGGCGGTACCGCTGTTGTTTTCTCTCTCTCTCGTATGTTGATCGTTTGAGTTCCCGTCGTCGTCGTCTCTCCACGAGCGAAAATCCCCGCCTGTGCCTTTGGCCGTGAGTTTTGGTTCGGGATGAAAGGGCGCTCTTGTTGTGCCTCAGAGCTGCTACTGCCGGTGCGCTACAAAGTGTGAGCTTGTCCCGCGCGGAACAAGCACGGCAGGACCGCAACAACGACATGTCAACCCCCTCGCTCGGAAGCATCCGAGACAACGAGTCGATTCGGTTCGACTACGCAAGAGAGAGGAACGGGACAGGCTGGGTGAAAACTCATATTTAGAGCAATTCACGCCGTTTTGCTGGAGTTTTTTGTGTTCCCCCCGGCGAAAAAAGGCACCTGGCAACGGCGTTTGCTCAGAGCGAGAAATGCTGCGACACTGCTGCTGCTGCTGCTGCTGCTGCTGCTGCTGCTGCATCGCTTGACGAAGCCTTGCTCGGGTGTTGGCATTACGATGTGCCAACGCGCCCTTCCCTAACCTGCTTCGTTGGATGCGGAGTAGACCGGGCGCGGGGTGTGTGAAACGGTACTGGCAGTGTTTTGTTGGGGGTAGTCTGGAAAATCGCTTCGGGGGTGCCGCCTTCTGCCGCCGCACGTTGTTGGAGCGAAGGCCAGGGGTGCGGAGTCAAAGCCCAGTGGCAGTGCTCTTTTGCCTTGGCGGGTGCTTTTGAAGCATTGGCAGCGGCCAACCGCAAATAGACGTACGTCCTTTGCCGCTCGCTCTGCGTGGCGCGGACGGACGGGGTAGTACGGTGCACCCGTTGTTCGGCTCTTCGGCAATAGCCATCTGCTGTTACCAAGAGGCGTTTTCATCGCAAACGCCTCCCCTGGGGGTACAGTGGCTTGACCCCGGCCCTGTCGAGGTTCAGCAGAGATTGGTTGATATCGTGCTTTGCTGGGTGTCGATGGCACGCTCACCATTGTACCACCAAGCATGGCACAGCAGAAGCAGCCCCCCCCCCCTTCGTTTTGTTGGGTTTTTGCCTGGCGTTCACGTAAAATAGCGGGAAATGGCGTGCGATTCTCGCCTGCCGTTTGTTCACGTAAAGTAGTAGGAAAAGGCGTGTGGCTTGGCCCAAAGGTTTTCGATACCGACACGACATGCTTGCGAACAACTGCTGTGGCGCGATTTTCTTTTGGACGGTAGGGCGGGTGGTAGAGCAGGGGCGACATGTGGTGGTGTCATTTCTGGCGGCAGGGTGGGTTAGTAGTGGACCGGCGCTGCGAGAAAAATGGAGGATAAGCGCACACCTGTCTCACCTTTTGGCGGAGAACGCTTGCACGTGGCCGATGGATCAAGCACGTAACTCGAGCGGAGCTCGGCTCGTGGTTGTGTGGTGAAAGGGCCGGCTCTCCGGCCACGGCGCTGCTGCAATGGGGAAAAGCCGTCAAGTTGTGGAGACAGGCCGTTCGTTGAATGCACCACGCTAAGAGTGCATCGCCAAGGCGAATCTCCCACAGCCAACCGTAGACTTTGTCGGCGGAACTCAACAAGTATGAAGCTCCTGTTATCCCGCAACCCACGGACCCCAATCTACGTAGACATTTTTGCCCCATACCCCGCCATGATACAATATTACCATTATTCTCTTGTGCGTCGAGAACTGAGAGAGTCAGGCGCGCCCAAACACAAAAGAAAAGAAAACATGAACCGGGAGCGGATGAAACGGATGATGCGAAACACGCACATCTGTCTCTCAAGCCGAAGCTCTCGAAATTGGACGTTCGATGCCGTTGTCCGTACTCTCCGTTTGGCGGTCCGGGTTTTGGGTTAGCCTTGGGGAGCTTTGATCAAGCAAATAATTAATCTTCCCACCCGTGTGCATACGAAGCCAGGGAGTGCTGAATGTGTCAGGGGTGGGGGGGTTGCCTAGTCAAGTCGACCCCTACCCCCGCTGTAGGTAGGAGTGAAGAGGGCTTCGCGTTTACAAACGTGACTGTGAAACCCATGCTGGTGGTGCGCTTCCTACCTAGCGCGTGTTGTCGGAATTTAACGTGAAACTAATCTGAACAGGAATCATTTTTCTTATCCCGTGGTCCTGGGTGCTGAACGATTTCCACGCGGAGCCTACCCCCCCCCCCCCCCTCCTCCGGTAGCAGGGTATACCAACGAACCATCCCGCTTCGCCCCCTCGATGCCATCCGACTTTCGCAAAACCTTCTACTGTTCTATACAACGCGCATCCAACGCGAACACAAAATCTTCACGGCCCTCTCTCGAAAGGAGTAAATTAGTAAACTTAAGTTGTGTGACTGAGCCTAAACACTGGAAATTAGTAAAACACACGACGCGCATGACACATTTGCGACCACAATTATTACACCTTTGAAGTCACGGCGTCGGTAACTCGCCTACGGAATATCTTATGCACAGATACCATCGCCGTTACACCGCATCGCATCATCAGCGCGTAAAATATGTCAGGTACACCTATTACTTACGGGTGAATGGCTTCGCATGCAATCGTTGTCGGTTCAAAAATCCCAACCAAACCACACGTGGACATTTTTCGACCAGTTGGCGCCGTCCGAGCGAACCGAAACAACACCTGCGCATCGAGCAACAGCAGTCCTGGTACAACAGGCTTCTGTGTGCAACTAAATTTACATAGAATTTGTCGCAGTTCCCAGACACGTATCGAAGTTACAAACGCAGGCAACACAGCTATTTACTTGCTACGTTTTCACGCGAAAGTGCTCGCGGTTAATAGCGCTGGAACAATCTAGGCGTCCTCGACTCAAAACCCGCCCCCGGACAACTTAGAAGGAGGCTTTTTTTCGGTCCAGCTGGCTGAATGCCTCTCTCTGGCCAGCCTTCCAGTCGCCGCGAACGACTACGCTTTCTCTGCGCGGCGCTGCTTGCGGCAGCGGCAGCGTCGACGACGTCAAGCAGCTCGACACCCCGGAGGCACGGGTCGTAGACGACATGCCGGAAAGCACGGACGAAAAGGAATTGTCGTTGTCACTAATGTCCGATTCGTCGTCATCGTCGTTGTCGACGTGGCCACTCTCATCTTCTTGTCCCTGGACGATTTGGCCGCCGCCGCCCCCGCCGCCCCCGCCGCCGTCGGAACACTCCGCCGCAAGCGGAGCTGCAACAACGGCTGGAAGTTTTCCGTCAACGGTGTCTCGTGCTACTGCCGGTAGCTCCATGCCACTAGGGTTCAGAGGTTCATTACTGGACGTAGCAGCAGCAGCAGCAGCAGCAGCAATTTTCTCGCCACGAGCGCCGCCGCTTGGCCGGCGCCGTGGGGCTATTGGGGTTGGGAATACGCCGCCGGGCGGGGTGACGGTGTAGCTGTGCCCATCCTCGTCTACAAAGCCGGCACGCGCCGGAGGAACAGTGGCGGCGGCGGCGGCGGCGGCGGCGGCGACCGTAGTCGTGGCAGCCGCTGCTTCCTCTCCTCCTCGCTGTGCCACGTCGGTCGACCACCGTCTCTTGACGTCACCGGCGCTGCCCTCGCGCCCTACCTCCGCCGGGTGCCTCCTGGCGCTTTCGTAGTGGACGGTCGCTCGCCGTGCAACCCCCCCCCCCGGCCTGATCTCCACGTCGCCCCCCTTGTCCTGGTCGAGGCTGGTGATGACCGACCGCATCTCGGCTTTCAAGTGTGACATCGAGCTGCGGTCGGCGCCGGTCGCTTTCTCGAGAGCAGCCTCGAGCTGCGCGACCTTGACCCTCAGCGAGGACAACTCCTCGGCCGCCCGGGCGCGCAGGGACGCCTCCGTCCGAAACGCCGCCGTGCTCTCGGACAACTCCTTCCGGAGCGCTGCGAGATCTCGCTGTTCCCGCTCGCGGGAGCGGGCTGTTCGGTGATGTTCCTCCGCCTTTCCCTTCTCGTAGCCCTGCTCGGTTGCCTTGGCTATCCACGACGCCTTGTCGTCTTCCCTCGCCAGCATAATCTCCTCCCGCATGGCCTTCTGCTCCGCCTGCCACTTCCCGCGTTCCCGCTCCATCTCCGCCTGGAGCGATTCTCGAAGGCGCGTGGCTTCTTCGCGCAGCCCGGCGACCTCTCGCTCGTGCACCGCCCCCGTCTCCGCGGCCTTCTTCAACTCCGCCGCTAGCGCCGCTTCCAAGTCTCCCGTCCTAGCCTCCAGGACCTTGCACTCCCTCTCCACCTTCTCCCGCCGTTCCGTCTCCCTCTCCTTCCGTCCCGACTCCACCTCGAGCGCCTCTCTCTCGCCCTGCTGCCGCTGAACACGCGCAGCCTTTGTCTGCCGGTGAAGCTCGGCCTCCAGACGCCTCCTCTCCTTCTCCGACGACGCCAGGGCGTCCAACACCTGCGCGACGTCGGTATCGATGTCCCGCGCCTCGGCCCTCGTGGCCACCAGCTCTCTCTCGAGGCGATCCCGCTCGGCGGCGGCATCGGCGGCGGCCGTCTTCGAAGCCCGAGAAAACTTGGCGCTCAGGTCGCGGAGCTCCGCCGTCGCTAGGCGAGCCCGTTCCTGCGACCTGGCGCGCTCTTCCTTCTGCTTGGCAACCTCGGAGGCGAAGGCTCCCGATGCTAGGGAGAGCTCGGCACACCGGCTGCGAAGCTCTCGCTGCGTGGCCAGGGCGGCTTCCAGGCGAGCCTGCGTGTCGGAGAGCGACGCTTCCGCCTCGGCCAGCCCATCGTTGGCCGCGGCCGACGCGGCTTCGCGCGCCTCGTTGCGTTCAGTCTCCAAGCGGGCGACGTGCGCTTCGAGCACCACAGCCTGTCGTGAAAAATAAAAACAGGGGGTGATAGAGGTTAGCGATGCTCTGTTTCTCGGAGATTGTCGCGATGTATTGTGGGAATTGTGCGCACGATCACTTTTTTGGAGCCGCGAAAACACAGAGGCAAGACTCGATTAGGCTGCGCCAAGGGTAACACACAACACGCAGGACTTGTTACTCCGCGCGCGACATGATGCGCCGCTTAAGATCTGGGAGCGTGTCGCCAACACCACGATGGCGTACCAGGAGCATCAAGCACCGAAATCGCGACTCGATGTGACAAAACAACCGCCCTACCTCAGACATCTTGTCCTCTAGAAGTCCCTGGATCTTGGTGAGCTCCCCAACGGCTGCGCTGAGCTCGCCGCTCAGCCGCAACTTCTCCGCCTCCCGCGCTTGCCCCTCCGCCTTCATTCTGACAACCTGCTGCTCGAGGCACTCTACCTCTCCGCGCGTGGGACCATCAAGCCCTTCCGCCGTCTGCGTCCCGACCGTTGCTGCGGCCGCGCCGGCCACCCCGAGAGAATCCCTGGTGTCCTCGAGCGCCCCCTGGACCTCGCCCGCGGCCAGCTGCAGCAACCGCTTCACGTTGCCGCTCATGCCGCGGAGCTTGGACGCCTGGGCCGCCAGCTCGTGGACGTGCGCGTCCGTCGACAGCGAAGACGTCGCCGCCGATGTCGGTCGCTCTCCGGCCGTTGCTGCCAAGTCGGCCGGAGCAGCACTGGGGGTTTCGTCGGGAGCTCCCGGGTGGCTTTCTCGCGTCGCGGCGTCCGGTTGGTGGTGATGCTTCGGAGCCGGTGCCGCAGCGGGGTGAGTTGTGGGCGTGGCGGTGTCGGTGGGGTCCGCAACGGCGTTGTTCTGGCGTTGCCTGTGAATCCTGAGGAGGAGTTCCTGGGACAACTTGAGCGCCTCGAGAGCCCCCTGACGACAGATCCGGGGAAAACAAAGACAGAATACATAGACGCGATCAAAAGTTGAGTCTTGACATGCATAGCAACAAAGAACACTTCGAAACGAAGGGGGTGGGTGGGTATACCACACGCCTGGTTTGAGAATTGGAGGGCATTTCTTCGCTGGCAGCTTCGTGAATAAAACTAATACGTCTATTTCTTAACACTCTGCCGTCGGAACTTTGTCACGCCATACCATGTCTGCCACATACCTTAAACTCCCTTCGGGCCTGGGCGCTAACGCGTCGAGAAGCCGCCACCAGCTCCTCCAGCGCAACGATGCGGCCCTTAGCCTTCTCGTACTTGGCGCGCAGCCTCTGGAACTCGCCCTCGAGAACCGCCATGGTAGGGGGGGAGGACGGGGGAGCAACCACCCCCGCTTCTGCGGAGCCCCCCCTCCCGCTCTCGCCGGCACCGTTCGGTTTCGAAAAGCCCTCCCCTCTTCTGCCATTGCCAACAACACCGGGTCCCTCCACCACCACCCCCGGTGGGGCAACATCGCAGGCGCGACGTTCCTGTTTCGTCCTGTCCACCTCCTTCCGGAGATCGTCCAGCTGTTGCCGTAGAGCTTCCATGGCGTCTCTCGCTTCCGCGGCCACCGCAGCCTCGGCCTCTCGCTTTGCCCGCGCCTGCTCCTGCCTTAGCGCCGCCGACAGATCCGCCACCTTCCCATCTAGCACCGTCGCCGCAGTGCGCGCGGCGTCCTCGCTGGCCCGGAGACGCTCCGCCTCCTCGCAGCGGGCAGTGAGCTCGGCCTCTAGACGATGCCGCTCCTTCCACACGCCTTCCACGAACCCCGTCTGTTCTCGGCTCAACTGGTTTTTGGGGTAGCGCAGGCGGAAGGCGGGGTGCAATACGCTTGGAGCGTGAGAAAAAGGAGAGAGGGAATGAAAGGTGGTGGACCAGCGCACAAGGTAAAGAGCCGAGCAAATCGACCAATGATACGGTTGGGGGGCATTGAAACAATGAAGCGCGAGCAAACGGCCCGGGGCGACATGTGCTTTTGGTTGGGCGTCCTTCCCACGGGCGGCTCTCACACCAACCTTGAGGAAGCTTACACTGAGACATCGACGTTGTGGTTTTGTGCTCTCCGCGGTGTGTTGTGTCTGTGTGTTTTCGTCCTATTTGTTATGGCGACAGTCCCCGCACTTTTCGTGGTGAGACGTGTACTACATACACTATTCAGTGTATGTAGAGTACTACACTTTTCAGTGTATTTTTCCTTTTTCAGTGTATTTTTTCGTACAACTACAACCATCCAGGGTCACACAGGAGGGGATGCACACCAGGGCTTTTTACTTATTCTCGTGCCCCACTTTCCTCCCGCGGTGCGTGCTGAATTCTTATTTTTATCGCGAGAAGGGTCTAGCCGTCCCTTTTCCTCATCAACGGTGCTAACGTCGAAGTTTGGTACTCACGAGAGCTTTTTTCAGCTATTTTTCGCTTTCACCCGCATTTTTTGTAACTTTTCCACCCCATGGGGATTCGAACTCGCGACCTTTGCGACTATAATAGCGGTTTTGATTATACCACTAGACCACCGGGGCGACCGGATCTCTCCGCGGTACAGAGGGGAATCTATGACCCCATCTCGATCGGCCAGACGGACAGCTTTCCCGTGTGCTTTTCATTCAAGGCTTTGCCCAGGCGGGGTCCCTGTTGTTGGTGCCGTTCGACCCAACGCAGTGGAGGTTGCCTGCTGCCCCCAAACTTTCGTGCGAACCCTGAAAACTTTAATCTATAGCATTGAAACCATCTTACGAGTAAAAATGCCTCGATATGTACCGAACCCGAGCCATCACTGGAACGAAGGCCGCGAGCCTATTAGAAATTGACATGTTCGGCCGGCTGTCTGGACTACCCAACTCACCTCCCTGCTCTCTTCGAGCCTGGCGGTCACCTCGGCCTCGCGACTCTCCGAGTCACGGAGGTCCCGCCGCAGGCTTGCCACCGTATCCCCCGCCGCCTTCCGCTCCTCTTTCCGCACACCCAGGAGCCTGGCCGCCTCGAAACGAAGACGTTCCGCGACCTCACGGACCTCTGCCCGAGACACAACACGCCGCAAATCATGGCCTTCTCCTCCACTCTCCGCACAATCTCCGAAGCCGTCTTGTCGGAGATCGGCGTCTCCAACCCCGCTTCGGTTACTGTCCACCGAGAATGCTCTCCTTCGCCTGTTGCTGCGTCTTCGCCCGGAGCCCGGAGCCGCCGCAAGCGAACTGCGCTGTTCGTTAGCGTCGCCCCCCCTCCTTCGCCTACCGAAGGCCCACCGCGGGTCGTCAAGCTCGCTGCCGCCGTCAGAGCCAGGACGACGACTCGTCCTGCGATCGGCCGCTGCCGCGGACAAGGCGCTCGCTATCCTTTCCATCACGCCGCACGACTCTCGCAGAGCTTCCTGCAGGCCTTCACGGTGCGGTCGATCCCCATCGAGACCAAACAAGTAGTCATCGTCCTTACCCCTCGTCCCGCCGCCGCCGTTTCGCCTCTTCGTTCTTGCGCTAAAGCCTACTCCCAACCCAGCCGGCGTCCCCCCGTCTTCGCGATCGCTGACAGCCTGAAGCTTGCGCTTAAGCCGCTGGGCCTCCGCGCGCGATTCCGCCGCCTCTGCCACGGCCAGGGCTAGCCGCCCCTCGAGGTCCTTCCTCGCTCTCACGAACGCCGATGCCGCCGCCGCCCCGCCATCATCACCATCGCCGCCGCCGGTAGGGCTCGAGAAGGAAGACGTGGAACCCACCGACGCCGCCGCCGCTGCAGCCGCCGTCGCCGCTGATGTCGCCGCGTGCTCGAGCTCGGACAGCAGCCTCGACCGCTCCGCGCGGAGCTCGGCGCAGGCCGTCTGCGACGCCACAAGGCCCCGCTTGAGGGTGTCCTTGTCCAGCTGCGCGGCTCGAGCCGCCCTCTCGGCCTGAGCCTTCGCCCTCGCCTCCGACGCCGCCAGCTCCGCTTCCGCTTCCCTCGCCGCGGCAAGTTCGGCCTTGAGCGAGGCGTCGGCGTTTTCGGCCGCTTGTCGCGCCCCTTCCCTCGCCGCGGCAAGCTCTGCCTTGGCTTCGCGAAGGCTGGCGCGGAGGGAGTTGGCCTCTCGTTCGGCCCCCGCGGCGGTCGCCCTAGCGGTGGCGTCCGAGTTGGCTTTGACCCGACTCATGTCTCCCTCGATCTTGGCGTCCAGCCGGGACACCTAGGAGCGCGTTCGAGAGACACGGGCTTGCTGTTGTTGTTGTTGTTGTTGTTGTTGTTGTTGTTGTTGTTGTTGTTGTTGTTGTTGTTGTTGTTGTTGTTGTTGTTGTGTTGTTGTTGTGTTCACCTTATTTGTCGTGTTGATGTTGTCGTTGTTGTTGTGGTGTTGTTGTGTTCACCTTGTTAGTCGTGTTGTTGTTGTTGTTGTCGTTGTCGTTGTTGTGTTCAACATATTGATCGGGGTATGTATTTTATAGTACAAGTAATAGTCTCCGGTGTGGGGTCATGAGGGCACAGCAGTGGACTCAAGGGGTGATGATGCAAGACGACGAAAAAAGCAGGCAGCAGGACCAGCTGTCAGCCGTCAATTGGTTGTGACGTGCCCCAAGCTCAGCAGCTCACACAACTGGCGTGTTCTGACTAGAACAGCTGAGCGAACGTCAAACGAGCCAGAAAGAAAAATGTAAAAATCTATATACAGTCTTACGCCACAAGTTGTAGACAACTTTCGAAGCGTTGTCTTCAATATTTGGCACGAGCACCGATTCCTCTTCTAGACAAGGCAAAGAATGACACACAGCCGCACCAGAAATGAGTATCAAGGTCTACGTGTGATTGCGCATGCGCAACCTGTTTTCAAGACCTGCGAGGGTCCCTCCCACCCACAAGAGCATCTCCACCAAGAGTAACGGCAGCGTGGGCATCGGAAGCAGAAAAGCCAAGCCAACCAGCACCAAAATGGCGTAATAACCAAGAAGCGTTTCAGCAAGAAACCAGCACGCCGACCGAAGGGCTTTGCTGCTCGACGCGACGGGGCGCCCGACACCTTGCAGCAGCTAAAAAAAGTAGCAGAAGCTAAGCGACAACGCATTTTTTGCACAGGCGTGCGAGAAAAAAAGGTCGAGAAAAGAAAACGGTCCGCACCTGCTTCCGCACGAGCGATATCTCCTCCTCCTGGACCTTCCGACGGGCCTCGCTTGCAACCAGCTCTTCCCCTAGAGCCGCCGCCCTCTTGGATTCCCTGTCGAACCGGCCGCGCTCCGCCTCTTGCCCCTCGCGCGCCAGCACCAGCGCTGCGGTGAGGTTTGCGACCTCTGCTACCGACGAGTCGCGTTCGCGCCGTACCGACTGTTTTCGGCGGGGTGTTGAAATGTGAACGCATGCCGCAGTTGTTAGACCGTTGACCTCGCATCGGGGGGGAATTCTGTCTGTTAATACAGAACACTTCCTATAGAGACGATCCATCTTGTGAAGGCAGTCGCAAGTCCTCAACAGGGCGGGTTGCATGTTGTGGTACTGGTAGAATACCCAAGTTGCTTTATCACTTGAATAGGGCGGGTGGCCGCTACAGGGCGGGTGAATCGCCTGGGCACATACCCGCCCTACAGTAGAGGGCCCACGCCTGCTGTGTAGTGATTTTGAGGAGAACACGTTGTAGGTGTAATGCGAGCAAAATTGTGACAGGATTGTAGACATCCAAGAACAGGAAAAGCAGAACCGTGCTCCAACCTGAAAGTCCGAAAGGGGTGTGGGATTTCGCCAGGGCTGGTGATCTTTTCTTAAGGGAGGGGGGGGGATGACGGATCGAAGACGCACGAAAGCAGTTCCCGCATTCTCGCCACTAAAACAAGGTGTGTGTATATCTGCAAAGCAGGTTCCGAGATGATGAACTCGCCTGAATTTCCTCTGCAGTTGCCGACGACGAAGACAGTCTCACGTGCAACCTTCCGGCCTCGGCCTCCGCTTCCGCCAGCTTTTCCACCGCTTGGGTACGCTCGCGAACAGTGGCCTGACATGGCAACAGGTTATCAAAGGACAACAGCGTAGCAAACATCCACGTAAGACAGCGATCAGAGTACTTCAACACGCTCAAAACCCTTGAAATGACTTTCAACGTGGACAACTTCTATCCCCCTCCCAGATAACATGCGCTCGGTCCTCGATGACAACCAGTATGCCAAAGTCCTGAGTACCACAACAGGCATTCTCAATTTTCTCTGGACAATATAATGGACACAATGAGGTGGTCAGGATCGTCTCTTGCCTGCATACTTAACGACAGGGAGCTACAGCAGTGGCTGGCACCGCACCATCGTACACGGCGTTCGTACACCCTGACACAAATACAGGAATAAACGACGACACTTGTACACAAGACACCCCACTAACAAGACGAAAAACACCCCTAAAAAAAAGACCAAGCACCCACCCCCCACCCCCCCACACCTCTAGCTCGAGGGCCACGCGTGCCGCGCTCTCCCTCTCGGCCTCCAGGCTCTCCCGCGCCGCCGCCGCCTGCCGACGGCTCTCCTCCTCTGCCGCTCTCAGCTCCGCCGAGGCTTCCGCCTCCCTCTGCGCACGCTCCGCTGCCGCTTGCGCCGCTTGAGCCGCTTGCGCCGCTTGAGAGGTTTGAGCGGCCGTGGCGGCACCGGCCTCCTCCTCCGCTGCCGCGGCTCTCTCCCGCGCACGCCGGGTTTCCTTATCGGACGCCTCCAGCCGTGCTCGCAAGGACGCATTGCTGCCCTGCGAGGTTTCGATACATAGAAAGGCGCCATCTAGATATGTTGCAGTCTTGACTGCGTGTGGCATCGTCTTGTCGGGCTGTCGGCTTCACAGAAGCGCTGGACGTCAACTTACATAGAGCCCGCGGGCAGACACATTGTTGCTCTAGCACAAGGTCGAGAACCCTGGAACCTCTCAGAATCTTGCTTCTGATAACGTAAATACGGGAGGGGAAGACGCCTGAAATAAAACTCTCTGGCTGGCAACATTACGGTAGACACACGCAAGTTCCGACAGCGCAACTACCAACCGAACACCACATTGTCGACCCTCGCGATTCATGCGAGATGGGTCGAACTGGACGGTAGGTGCGGATAGAAGAACCACGGTACCTCGACACAACAAGTCTGCGAACAGAGCTTAAGGAGGAAACATTGCCAACAGTTTCCACCTCTTCAGTCAGACTTTCATTTTGCGGGTCCGCACGGCTACTGCAGTCGCTATTGATTGGCTCATCTCTTTCCAGTCAAGCCGAAAACTATACCATTTGATTGGAACACCATGGGCACAACAAAATCTCACCCACCTGCTCCTCCAATAGCTCTCCAGTGGCGGTCTCAAGCCGGTCCCTCAGCCGGGACACCTCGGCCTCGTGCTCTCGCAGTCGCTGTGCCGTTTCGGCGAGCGAGCCATCGGCGGCGGCGGCGGCAGCAGCTCTTTCTCTCGCCGCCGTGGCGTCTTTGCTCTTCTCCCGCTGTGCTGCCGCCGATGCAGCCGCTGCTTCTCTGCCGCGGTGCCGCGAGAGTTCGGCCTTTGCAGCGTCTGCCTCGGCCCTCGCTTTGGCCAGCTCGGCTGCCTGAGCGTTGCGCTTGCGCTCGGAGCGACGTAACCTTGCGGACACATCGTTCAGGCTGTTGGCCTTTCATTTTTCGTCGTGCGTTGGGGGATTCGAGACGGCCCGGGCGGTGGAAGAGAAAACGAGAGGAAAAACAGAAAGAGTTGGAGATGGAGGGAGACAGATATAACGGGAGAGAGATGAGGAAGGAAGCGGTATGGGGGGCATACGCTTGTTTAGCATGCCATAGGTGCTACACCTTGGCCACCCGTCCTCGAGAGGACGGAGCACTGTTCCCATGGGAGGAAGCCGGAGGGGGAACAGAAGAACAGCACACAGGGAGACGAATCCCGGCCGACGGAGAAACGGCCTGCCAAGGTATAGTCATGGACATACGGGAACACCGGGCCCCTGCGGTAGGCCAACAACGAAACACAGACCATTTCACGAAGAGGACACCGCAGGTTCTCCGGCTCAAACTCACCATCTCTTTTGAGTCGTCGTGAGCACGTCCCACCTCTAGGGCACGTTGTTCCAGCACCGCCCTCATCCGCTGCAGCCCCTCGTGAGCAGAGGCCACCAACGGCGACCCGCTCGCGGCGATAATCGCGTTGCCTTTCGAGACAGTGGCGGTCGAACCTTGCTGCCGCGGCGGCGGAGGCATCAATCGTCGCGAGCTGGCAAGCTCGTTGTCCGATGGTCGTCCCGGGGTGGCGGCGGTACGGAAGGATAACGCGGTTCCGGGGAGAGCGGAATCCGCGGGTTGCCGCCGCAGCAACACGCCGCCGACAGCCCCGCCATGGTGGGGCCGAAACGCCTCCTCGTTGATCTTGTCAACGCCGGCACCGCCCGCACGGCTTCCGTCGGAACCCCCACCACGAAAAGCGCTCCCATTACCCGATGGCAAGTCGCTGTCGTCTGTGTTCGCGCCGCTTGCATCCTTGCCGTGGCCGCGGCTACGTTGGAACGAAAACGACGAGCTCCTTTCTACGTTGCCGCTCCCCAGAGACGCGGAAAGGTGCCGGAAACCCCTTGCGCTTGTGGCGACGACGGAAACGTCCCGCTTGAGCCGGAGGAGGTCTTCCTCCCTCGACCTCAGTGCATCCCGCAGCTCGAACAAAGGGCCGGACTCCGCCGCCGCCGCCGCCGCCGCCGCCGCCGGCATCCCGTCCTCCGTCCCTGCCACCGCCGTCCCAGCATCACCGCTGCTGCTGCTGTTGTCGCCACTCGCCGAGTGTTCTCGTCGAAAGCTTTCCCACGCCCCGTCTCCGCTGCCTAAAACCGAGGCCGACGTCGAGGAACGTATCAGGGGCGACAGCAACAGCAAAGGCTCCGCGGAAGCGGTTCGGCTGACTGCTGTCGGCAAGGACGGTTCCCTATCGCCCCGCAACCGCAGCAGACCCACCGCTTGCGTCTCCCCCCGGGCTCCTGGCCCCCGCCCGTCATCCTTCTCTCCCACGTCAGGCGTCAGAACCGGGGTTACTAATGACTGTTCTCGTTGCGCTCCACCCGGGCTACTTGGTCCACCAACATCGTTTGCTCGTCTCCGGCTTGTGCTACCGCTGTGCGTGCTCCCGCTACTGCCCCCCTTGTTGAACAGCCCCTCCTGATCGGAGACTTGTGTCCCCGTGCCTGCCATTTCCCCCCCGCCTTCTGCCGCCGCCGCTACTGCTGTAGTACTTTGATCGCCGGCGTCGTCTGGTCTTGGCCTCGCACGCTCATCCGAGTAGTGAGTGCGACTTTTGTCCGCCGACCGGAGCTCGCGTAAGGATAACCGCCCGTCCGAGTACCTTGTCTGTTGTTGCACGTGGTCGACGGCGATAGGTGTGCATGTTCAGAGAGGTGCAGCAAGGGGGGAAAGAGAGTACACAATGTGCAGCGGCCCCAAGCACACGCCTCTTTCCTCCAGATGGTTGCGGGCAACGACTGAGTGCGCGACATGCGTTGTCGGTAGAGTTTCGCACAGAAAACTTAAACGTCGACAACAAGACATCCGATTGGCGAGATGCAGCCTCCAATGTATGCCGCGACTACGTGGCGAAACAGGAGAATCACCGGCGCATGTTTGAGTAGAAATCCTGGTGCCAACAAATCCTCCACACGACACTCCAAAAGAACGAATTTGGTTCGTGTGTTGACCGGTACATTGATTTGTCGGTAGCGGGTAACGCGTGATGGATGGACTGAACCGAACCAACCAGTCCCTCGACCATCACCTCCGACCTTCGCTCACCCGTTCCAACACGGAGGTATCCCCCTCGGCAAAGATTCCGCTCACGCCGGCCCTCGCCGGCAGCAACTCCCTGCGGACCAACCGACAGCGACGATTCGGCGGGATGCTGGTGTTGCCGGTGCGCTTCTTTGCGGAGTATCGTAATTGCGCGAGGGATCGCCCCAGAACCGACTTTCAAGGCTCGATTGCTCCACAACCAACAGGGTGCTAGTATCGAAAACCGACGATGCGTGCAAGGCAAGATAATAGCTCTCGACGAGATCTTTCTAAGAACGCCCTTTTCCGCGTTGACAACGTCTCGGTTGCGGAGCGATCGAGCTGTGAAAGTTGGTCTAGGGAGTGCGCGATGGCTCGCACCCTTACACGATGACTTGAGTTTATATCTGTTTACTTCCAATAGCACGGTGGTGACACCTACAGATGATTCTAACGACAACGACAGCGAGCACGTCGCCGACGCAAGCCCCTAGAGAATTCCCCAACGCCTACAGCAGTCAAGCAAGCAGAGCCGTCCAGCTGCGAAATCTCAACGACTCCCGAACAACAGCAGGGGCAGCGTAATGAAGTCAAGCAGAACAAAGTTTCAAAGTTTCAAAGTTATGTAAACGCTGGCCAACTACGGATGGTAATGCATGTACCCTACGTACCTCACAAGAGGTCTGCTGTTGTTGCCCAACGTCGGCTGACCACCAACCCCATCCCCGGAGGATGGGCGACCGCTTTCATCGCCCGGCCCAGACGCGAGCATCGACGACGACAGCCCGCCGTCCCACTGCGCGGAGTCGTGGCCGGGTGCCGGCTGCGAGAGGAAATCAGGAACCACAGCAAAGCTTGCACGATCGGTTGCGAGACAGCCGTCGCCCGGTGGGCCGTATGCGTGAAGGTTCTTCAAGAGAGGCACGGGTACAACTGCTATTATAGTTTCGAATAATGTAGGTGCGAGATGGGGCGGTTTGGCGAACCTACTGGACGAAGGCTTGCAGCTGAACGTGCCATACGCGCTGTACAAAAGGGTGTCGCTAATAGCTTACCGCGGGGGAGCTGCTGTCGGTCCCTGCGAAACCATCCCTCAAGCGCTCTACAGCGCGGCCGATAGCCTGCGGGAGGGAGACAGAAAGAGGCGGGGTGCACAGCAAGTTGACATATTGTTGTGCTGGAGTGTTGTATGAATCCTGTATCACAGCAGACGAACACGAAGGAGGTACGAACTGACTATCTCGTTTCACTGCTGTTGGCACACGTACCTCTCTGCCTCTCTTCAGCGAGAGCGTGTGTGAACATGCCATCGTGCAGGCTTTTTGCGCGATAACGGCAGCAGTCGGATTTCAAATCTACAACGAAGTGCGTCGACCGCACCTGGATATCATCCTTGAAGCTGTCGTTCAACGGACTAGCACGGCCGGCACCGCTACCTGCGTTGTCACTAGAAGGGACCCAAGGTCGATCTTCCTCCATATGTCGACAACCCCGTCGACAACCCCGTGTTGCCCAGCAGTGGAAAGGGCTCGCGACAGAGACAAGCGGTGAGATGTGTCCCAGGGGGACGGCAGATAAAGATCATGACCCCTCCACATGCGGCGAGATTGAGCCGCTCATGTGTGTCACGGCTGGCACCCTGATGAAACACAGACACAGCAGAGCCTCCCGCGCCGCGGGTGTGCACAAGCAAAGAGGGATCTGCCTGCTCGAGAGGCCCATGAGGATGGTTAACCAGTTCAGTATCCTAGCGCTGCTGCTTGCTGCCGCTAGTACGGTGCCGGCGGAAGCGGGCTTTGTCCTTGAGGTACGCCAAGAACGTCTACCCGTTGGTGCAAGGAATGTCTACCCGTTGTTGCTCCGTGAGAAGCATGTGTTTGGGTGTCGACGCGCCCAATTTTGAGGAAGTACGAAAATGCATGCAGGGTAGGTAACAACCCTGATTTTGGTGTCCGACAGACGTCCGCTAGAGTGTTGCCGTTGGGAGACCTGTATTGCGTCATCATATGCAAATGGTCTGCAAATGTATTCAACGAGACCCTTCATTGCATGCGTTTTGCGTAGAGGGGAGGCGACAGATGCTTTCTTTGGATCACATCGATCGGACAGCAGTTGTTGACATTTTTCTCCCGTCTATTTACTATGGATTGGGTGAGCGGAAGACACATGTTTTTCCTCGACGGCCGCGTCTCCTCTGCTCTTGGACGCACGCACGCTCGTTTGGGTGTTGTAGCGCTGTGCCTACCCCGAGATCAAGCGGAAAACAAGCGGTGCAAGGACAAAGCACAGGGCAAAATTGAACTTCCAAATGTAGCTCAGAGGTCGGAAGCGTGAGGACGGCCATGTTGGTACAGTAGATACTTGACTGCTGTCGATCATGTCCGATTGCATCTGTCCTCCCTCGTCGCTCCCTCTTTGTGCAGCAAGAGCCATGTTTTTTCTTGATGCGTTAATACAACGTGGTCATGGGTTGCAGCTTTGCGAGTACTACAATATATTGTAAATGGTAGAATATCTATCTATGGATGGTGACGCGCGGTGCAGTGGCATCACCTCGAACAAAGTGACGCGCCCCGCTGGTCTCTTAAGTGTTCATGTAGGAGTACATCCTTAACCCTTTCGTGACTGGGTTCTTTCTGGATCTTCCGCGTTTTTTTTTGTTCTGCCGGGACCGAATAGACCGATGAGTCATGAGACACACACACACGACACCCGCACTTGAACGTTTGCACGTTTGTTTGCGCACCAACAGGTTCCCACATGGGTCAACCGCACGCACCCCATGGTGCCACAAAGGTTTAGTGCCCAACAGCAGCGTAACCCTCACGTGAAGAATGTGATGAGTGACCGATAACTACACTGACTGCTGTACTGCTGTATGTAGGTGCTGTCGGAAACCGGAGGAGAGAGAGAGGAGAGGGCGCCGTATTTCTTTACCCCAAACACGATTACATGGTGATAGTCTACATGGATACAGCAGCAGCAGTAGAGATACATCGCATGCACAGCAGTTCTACCCCGCCGCCGATGCAGCACACTGGCGCAAGGCATGGCACCGCCTCCAATGCCACTTGGTTGGGTGGTATATCCAGCGGAGACAAGAAGCACACACGCACGCGGTTTGTTTGTTGGATGCATGCATGCGAAACGAAATGAAAAAGCACCAGCAGCAGCAGCAGCAGCCCGCCGCAGCAGCAGCAGCAAGCACGAGCCGCGCGAGAGATAAACTATGCCTTGTGGTGGCGGTTGGTTGAAGACGGACAAGGAATACACTCGAACACACACGCGCGCAGGAGAACTCGGGGAGAGGCCTCGTAAGCTTGGCCTTCAGTTCTGCAACCACATTCCGAAGGCAAGGAAGAAGGCACACAAGTCAACAGCGAGAGCATGCTTTATCGTACCAGATAAAGACAGGTTTTATCATGCCTCCTATCGTGCCTGTAGTCACGAAAACCCTCTCAAAAACGCGAAGGCACGGGGGCGGGTGTCTCTTTTTGACACTTTGTCACTCCGCCACAGCCTGCCAGCACAACAGCAGCAACAACAGCAGTACAGCAGTACCAACATCACCACCATGGACCCAGAGGACATCGCTCAGTTCTGGGAGGCCAAAGCGGCTGAGTGGGACCCAGTGAATGCTCCCCTAGTTGTGTGGGACGAGCTGGTTCTCATCGCGGACACAACACCCCAGCTCCTGCCCGAGGCGACATCTGCTGCAGCCAGGGCGGTTGGGAAGCGGTTCTGCTGCCACGGGGACAACAAGCCCCAGCCCCTCCCAGACATAAGGGACCTGGCAGCAAGGAGGACCGCAGCTCAGCAGCACCCCGGACTCTGCGGGTACCACCACTCCCGCTGGATCGGGGATGTAGATTTCTCAAAGGCAGCCGAGAGGAGCTCGGGGGGGCAGGTCACAGCGAAGCGTCTGAGGAATCAAGTAAGTATAGTACAATTGATATTTGGCAACCCCACAAATGATGGGCTGCTGACCCAGATCGGTTGTGCACCTGCTGTGCGCGTTGCACCTCGTGTATTATAGGTGTGCTTCACGTTCAGCTTTGTTTGACATGGTGGCTTGTAAGAGTGCTACAACAGCAGTACACTAGGCCCACAAACTTCAACCTGGACTAACGTGCGTGTGTTTTTCGAGCCTGCGGATCAATGCAGCTGCCAGACAGATCATATCACCACACGAAGTAGACAGGAAAGAGGGATGAGAGACCTGAAAGACGCGTTTACAGCAACCCTATCCCTATGAACCTCCGCAATGCTCAGCAAATGCTCTGGAAAGACAAGCGGCGCCCAGCGCGTCGACTCCCCTTTTGAGACAGATATGGTGTTATCTTCCGTATCAGTTAGGTTGGAGACTCTCCCATTTCGTACGAATAGGCTGGCAGCCCGCAGCTTTGTACTCCCCGCATTAGACAGTAGTAGGGGTAACGATGTACTGGGGAGGCCGAGCATAATTTTCTGTCTTGTCCGAAGTTAGGTTTTGTAATCCGAACGGGCGGTTAGTAGTCCGAACGGAGAAAAAGACGCACGCGCCGCCCCATTGCGTGAACGTCTGTCTCTCACAGATACTGCATGCCACGTAACGTTTGTTGGCTCTCCATTTTCCCACCAAAGACTGGAGTGCACGCTCTAAAAAAACAAGCCTACGTCGTCGTTTTTTCCCCCGCAACGTGCAGGCTTCGTTCGACGTGAGCACCCGCCTCAACGCGAGGGGTCGTGGCGTTCAAATCACGAGGAGGGACTGCTTCACGCAGGCGTGCCGCGCGGTGTGGCCGGGAGACGAAGCCATACCAGCGGCCATTGCGGAGGCATTGTCGTGATTCTCGAGCGCGTGTTTTAGGCTGATCATGGAGCCTGAGGGGTGGGGTGGGGGGGTGGAGAGGGTTTCGTACTTACAAGAGTTTCGAGCAGACCCTCAAGGTTTGCGCTTGGCTAGTTTGCAGGGCGTCGTGCCCCCGCATGACTTTGAGTTTCGCTGGGTTTGTCGTTCAATTCGCTGGGGTTATTTGGAGAAAGAGTGCTGCAAGGCACAACTCGGTGGAACAACCGATGGTGCAATGGTGTGATCTGAAAATTCCGTATGTTTCGTCGCATGTTGCAGGCGCACTCGCCGGGAGATGTGTATTGCATTTTCGCAGAGATCAGCGCCTTGGTTTCGAGATGAAGAAATGGAATAAACATGGAACAAATGATCTTGCAAGTATTCACGACTTGATCGCATGAAGGTCTCCGGAATGTCTGTCATTGGCACACGGTTGGATTCCGATGCCGTTTGCGGTCTCTGAACTACTGGTGAGCACCACCGGCACGTGGTGTGTATGACGTTGTCGCACGAAAGGACTAGACTACACCGCACGCAGTGAAAAAACTAAAGTGCCAGGAAAACGTTGTTTATCTAGATGCCGAAGACTTCTTTCGATTTTATCTGCAAACCTTGGTATCTGCAAACCTTGTACACTTCGTACTCCATTCCTTGTCTACGTGCGAACATGTCTGTCGACCAAAGCACGGGATACCGACGCCAAACCTAAGGCTCTTGCCACATAGGTTTCGGGTTAAAAACGACACACAACGAGCGATACACGAGCCGTGGCTAATCGCAACAACACTGACAGTAGTCACAAGCGAATGGGGGCTAAAGGGGGGGGGGCTAAAAACTCACTACCGCAGGTGACACCGCCGGCGCCCACCAACAGTTGCCCGACAAGCACTCTTCACCGCATATCCCGGAGGACGCTTCAGACTCTAAAGACACACGCTTTCAGAAATAGCGCGGAATAAAAGACCTACAATATTGTGATTCAGTAACTTGCACTTTATCTCGCAAGGATGAAAACGATCGTACTTCGACCGCTACATGATACAGATGGGTGGTAAACAAGTACACAACACAAACGCCCCACACTATAATACCACTGCTATCGGGAAGACACAACAGGTAAACGACGGAGTAAAACATTTTCATGACGGACGGGAAGATGATGCGCTACGATCAGTCTGCCTGCCAAAAAATATGTCAAGGGACCCTTACACGAGTCGATCCCTGTTTCCTCCGCCCGAAACACTCGCAACAACAACAAAAAACGGTCACGAGCACCAGTTCATATCCTTCCGTGTCCTTTTTCCGAACTTCGAGGCCTCCCGTTCAGCCCGTGCGGCCCTAGCGTGCCTCGCCGGGTTCTCGAAGCATCCCTTGCACATCAAAACCCCCCCGCCCCCCTCCCGCCCTGCACCGCAGAACGCCTCGCAGGCACACCCTTTTCTTGTCGTTTTCTTGCATCCGGGGTACATGCACTTGCGTTTTGTCTTAATGTGAACGCTCCCCCAAACGTCCTTCGGGGGTTCCGTATCTTTGACCTGTCTCCCCCCCTTGTTGAGGCTACCAACACCGCACCTCCCCATGAGCTCCGTCGACATCTGTTCGTCCCAGTCCGACCTCTCAAGATTGGCCAACCTGCGGAGCTCCTTCA